AGGCACGCTGGAGGCGGGGCCATGACCACACAAGGGAAAACCATAGAGTTTTCCCTTGGATGGCCGTGGCCCCGCCCCCAGCGTGCCTGGCGTCCTCCCGTCACTTCCGGGTGACGTGCACGTCGGGGCGGAGTTCCCCCCAGGGCCCGATCTGGCGCCGCCGGGGAATGGGCCTCTCTTGGGATCCCTAGACCCCACCCACTTTCTCAAAACACTTGGCAGGCACCAGGAAAGGTGGTGGTGGGAGCCATGGAGCCCCTGAGCACCACGTTGGAGACCCCTGGCTTGGGGGGGTGTCAGCACAACTCAGATGCTTCTTCAGCTTTGGGCTTCGGGCCCAAGATGGGGTGGGGGTTGTGGGAGGGAACAGCCGGTGGGCAGACGAGCGGAAAGGAGGAAAGGACATCCCTCTTACCTGATCCATCATGCCTCCTTCCATGATCAGCCGGACCCTGGCAAACGCATTGATCTGGAGGGTGTATCGCAAGTGAGGGACCAGGAGCTGCAAAGGAAGACGGAAAGTCACAAGACCTTCAGGCTCAGCAGGGGACTCATCAGACAAGCAGCCCCACTGTCAATGTGGGTGCAGAACCCAGTGCCCCTGTCTGGCCTCTAGAACTCAGGCCCCACCGGCCTGGCTGGCTATACCCCATCGCCTGCTTGCTTAAAGTAGATGGTAACAGCCCAAAGGAAGCTGCGGTGGCTCAAGTGGTTAAGACGCTGAACTGCAGGCTGTGGAAGGTCAGTAGTTCGGCAGTTCGAGACCTGAGTGTGCCGCAAGACGGGGTGAGCTCCTGTCTCTAGTTCCAGCTCCTGCCAACCTAGCAGTTCGAAAGCAAGAAATTGCAAGTAGATAAATAGGTATCACTTCGGTGGAAACGTAACAGCGTTCCGTGCACCTTGGTGTTTAGTCATGCCGGCCACATGACCACGGAAACGTCTTCGGACAGCGCCGGCTCTTCGGCTTTGAAACAGAGATGAGCACCGCAACCCTTGAGTCGGATTCGACTGGCTTTCGAGCAAGGGAACCTTTACCTTAACAGCCCAAAAGTGCTTCAGAAAAAAGATCCCAATGAAGGAAAACTGTATCCTAACTGCACTCAATTTTTAAATATTCAAGTGAACAGAATACAAAAAATTATTCGTGAAGTACAAAATGCATGAGATGAGTACAAAATATATACAGGTATTCAACGGGTATTAGTGGTTGTATAGGTTGTTAACGATAATCTCCGGAATCTTCAACCGTTTCGAAAGATATCTTCTTCTGAACAGATGAAGGAAATGGAAGAACCTTGTAGAATAACACTGATAACAATACTGCATCAGAATCCATGGTGATTGTACCCATAATCAACAATATTGTTCAAGTATTTAATGTTCAAGTATTTAAAATTTTATCCAACATCATGGTTTTTAATATTGATATTATTATGGTAGGAGGGGCCCACGAAAGTCATAATGTGGCCCTGTTCCCTCCCTTGGCTTTTTTTGTTGTTGTTCAGTCGCACGAGTCCGACACTTTGCGACCCCGTGGACCAGATCACGCCAGGCCCCCTGTCTTCCCCCATCCTCTGACGTTTGCTCAACTTCATGTTCGTTGCATCTATGACACTGTCTGACCCTCTCATCCTTTGCCGTCCCCGTCTTCTTTGACCTTTGGCTTTTTTACAGGTACTTTAATTGTGCGTGTAAATAAGCCAGCGATACAACGATGAACCACTAGAGGGAGCAAAATACATGCAAAAGGGAGGGAAGGACAGAATTCAGGCACACGAGGGAGGAAGTTACATTTGCAGAAAAGCCTGCCAACTTTTACCGATCGATCAGTTAACATTCAATAGGTCTGAGGAACATTTTCATTGCCTCAGCCGGCGCCTCAAGATTCATTGGGCAGTAGATTTTTCTAAATGCTTGCTTCTTTTTAATACAGGAGTTTTAAAAAAGTTGCAGGAGGCAAGTGCCATCTTTTTTTTTTAAAAGCAATTTTATTTTATACCAGACACACCAACAAACAAACAAAAACAAACATACATACAAACATTCATTGGAGGAATCTATCTATAGAGTATCTATTCAGTTTCCAATACATCTCTAAGTAAAAGATACATTTCTACACCTTGAACAGTGAATTCAAGCTTATGCACATATTACTGTAAACGTACTTTTTATCCTCTGGTTCGGTTCTGAACACAGTGCCATCTTTGAAGAAGCATCCCCACTTGTGTGAGAGGGGCACGCAGTGGGGCTGCCAAGTCCATAAGAACATAAGAACATAAGAGACGCCAATGTTGGATCAGGCCAAAGGCCCATCCAGTCCAACACTGTGTCAACACAGTGGCCAGAAATACCAGTGCCATCAGGAGGTCCAGCAGTGGGGCCAGGACATTAGAAGCCCTTCCACTGTTGACCCCCCCCCCCAAGCACCAAGAAGACAGAGCATCACTTGCCCCAGAGCCCCTATCTATACCTTGTGGCTAATAGCCACTGATGGACCTTTGCTCCATATGCTTATCTAATTCCCTTCTGAAGCCGTCCATGCTTGTAGCCGCCACCACTTCCTGTGGCAGTGAATTCCATGTGTACCCCGGGGTTTGCCCACCGGTCCGGATCAGGCTGGTGGGGGGAACCCTGCCGCCAAAGTGCCCAGACCGGGCAGATGTGCCCGGCGCGATGACATCGCCTGGAGGTGACGTCATTGCACTGGGCCCATCGCCGGGCGACGCTCTAGCAATCAGCCTGAGAACTCTATGGTACCATCGAGTTCTCAGGCTGATTGCTAGAGCATCGCCCAGTAACGTGCCCGGCCTGATGACGTCACCTCCGGGCGACATCATCGCGGTGCGTGCGCTACGGATGCACACAAATCTCCAGGACAGGACCAGACTCTCCCGCGCTATACCAGGCAACCGACTTGGCAACGCTAGGACACAGGGATGCCTCTCCCAAGATGGCACCTCTTGTGACAGAAACATGCCTCATTAAAACAAGCCATGCCTTCTTCTTTAGACTTTTCTCTCAGATACACATTTGTGCACATTTAGTGGATTAATTAATTAAGGAGACTAAATTAGCTGACTAAAACTCATAGGATTAATCCTCTCTGGATGAGACGGGTATCCTCCGGTTCGGCCTGGGGACATGCTGCCGTTTTTAAAAAGTGAGTCCCCTTCCTGGTTCTTTTGGGCTGTTCTCCCTTTCAGGCCGCTTCCCTGTCCATCTTACCTTGAAGACCGGGTGGCACATGGGCAGCTGCCTCAGTGTGGCCACGGCAAAGACCTCGGCTATCAGGTGAGTCCTCAGGAGGTGGGAGATGTTCTGGTGGATGTGGAAGTCGGCGTTCCGCACCCACATCTTCGCCAAGGTCCAGTCCCACTCGGGGTCGCTGGGAAGGAAGATGGGACTGTCAGGACCTGGGGTCTGGGACAACTCCTCCTGTGGCAGTGAATTCCATGTGTTAAGGTAGGTGGGGCTGAGAGAGCTCTTTCAAGAACTGCCCTTTCAAGGACAGCTCTTATCAGAACTATGGCTTGCCCAAGGTCATCCAGCAGCTGCAAGTGGAGGAGTGGGGAATCAAACCCGGTTCTCCCAGATTAGAGTCCGCACACTTAACCACTACACCAAACTGGATTTATACCCCTCTCTTTACTACCCAAAGGAATCTCCTTCCCCTCCCCACAACAGACACTTTCTGAGGTAGGCGGGGCTGAGAGAGTTCTCTCGAGAACTACTCTTTCCAGAACAGCTCTGAGCAGAGTTCCCTCTAAGCTGAGTTAGCGTGAGCTAGCTCACAGTTTTTTAGCCTCCAGCTCACAGATTTTTGTCTTTGCTCAGGAAGGATGGCTCCAGAGCAAACTGATTAATGCAGTAGCCAAATCGCTCGCTCACAACTTTAATGCCAGCAGCTCACAAAGTAGAATTTTTGCTCACAAGACTCCGCAGCTTAGAGGGAGCGTTGGCTCTGAGAGAACTTGTGACTGACCCAAGGTCATGCCAGCAACTGCATGTGGAGGAGTGGGGAACGAAACCTTTTTCTCCCAGATGAGAGTCCGCACTCCTAACCACTACACCAAAGCCCACCCTCCATGACAATAGATCAAGATGAGTAGCCCTGTTAGTCTGTCTGTAGCAGGTGTCTGAGGAAGGGAGCCGTGACTCACAAAAGCGCCTCTCCTGCTACATATTTTGCTCATCTTTAAGGTGCTACTCGACTCCTGCCCTTTTCTACTCCACCATGACAGCCATTTACTCCAGAGGAACAGATCTCTGTAGTCTGAGGGGGGATCATTTGTAACTCCACCCTTTTTTTTTAAAAAAAAGAATCTTTCTTAGGTGTTCTGTGGTTTGCCTCTAGCCTGTGGACTGCTTTATGAATGATATTTTTTCTGGGTATTGTGTGTGTGTGTGTGTGTGTGCTTGCATGCTTGGAAATCATGGGGACTTCTGGCAACACCTGGTGGGGTTTGGACGTTTTAGAAAGGTGGCTTGATATTGCCTGTCTCTGTGTCCGAGCCCTCGTATCCCTTGAAGGTATCCCTTCCTAGGACTTGCCAGGGTCGGCCCTGCTTAGCTTCCGAGATCCGACAAGATCGACTTTATGAATGATATTTTAGAATGCTCAATTGTTTTAATCAGGGGTCATTTCGTAGAAAAAGAGGTGCAGGGGATCATTAGCATAACGCATTAGCTTGACTTATTTGCATATGCCACACCCCCTGACCTCACCGGAAGTGTGTCAGAAGGCAACACCCACCGCTCAGGCTCCACTAGACTCTTGGATTGCTAGCTATGGGGGGGGGGGACGGGCAGATCTGTCCTCGTAGAGGACAGGAGGAAAAACTTGTGCCTGAATAAAACTTGGTCTTAAAGGTGCCACTGGACTGCCTTGGATTGGTAGACATGAGGGGGGGGGAGAGATGCAGATTCTCCCTCACAGGGGAGAGACAGCTTGCATCTGAATAAAAACT